TGTGCGATTTAGAAGAAGTTTTGTTCCTCGCGCAACTTTCTGGTGGACTCGACTACCACCAGAGATTTTTCCGGACAGATACGATTTAGGGACTTTCAAGAAAATAGCCTACTTTTTTTTAATAGGTCGGAACGCACCTGAAATTCCCCTGGTGTTGCAGTTGTTTATGGGCGACGGTAGTCACTTACCATCAGGTTAGCCGCATGCTCGTTTGCCCCCTCTGCTATAGAAAAACGTGTATTTACGGCAAAGGAAAACTGCATGTCTGAGAAATAAGAAAATTAAAATATTTCCAAGACATGTGAATTTCGCCAACACGCATTGGGGCAGCGCAGCGGGCATTTCCTTGCCCTAAACCCTCTCAAAAATGAGAAGAGGCTTGTGCCCAGCAGAGGGACGTTTATAGGTTGTATATTTAGCATTAACTTTCTTTGAAAGTAACTCACTAAAATCAGTTAAAGTACATACTTTAAACTGGTAATAGATAACAAATTTAACTGAAGGACCTCGTGTAGAACATGTATTTGGGAAACTTGAAGCTTAAATATTAACCATAAAATCTTTTTTTTTTTATTAAGGTATACAATAATTTATAAATTAATAAATAATATAGCAATTAAAATCAAACGAAAAAACCAAACAAGTTCAAATAACTTTAAAAAGTACATTATAAAGAGTACCTTAACAAAATAATTATGAGCAATGAACTCAGAGTTGCGTATAAATCCTATAAGAGGTATGTATTTTTCTTTCCGAAAAAAAAAATATGCAGAAGATATACTCGTATATGTAGTTAAAATAAACAGTATGGAAGAGAGAAGATTAAGCAATAATAAAAATAACCTTCACCAACCTTTGATGTTTGGAACAACAACTGCTTTTACATGCACTTCGTATATGTAATAAAACGGATCGTCTCGAAGATTGAAACGTTCCGTGAATATAAGAATCTGGCATTAGAGATCTCGGAATAACGTTGGACAGTAATCTATATATACGCAAACACAATATAGTAAGTCCGTTCAGCATATTAAAGTCCACCGCTGAACATAGACCTCCCCCGTAGATTGCCTCAGGATATTTGTCACGCTTGATAAGTGGGTTGGCAAGCGCAGTTTATTATTATTTTTAATCGTTATAAGGATGACGCTGATGCTGCCAATCTCCTGATTTGTTTCCCTGTCAACTCTTACGACACCCACGGGCTGATATGGAGTATCATCACCTTCTTCTTTATAAACATGTTATTGTTATTAATAACATTACTATTAAGACGAAAACAACTTGCAACAATGTTGCTTTATTATTTGTGCCATAACAGATACGATTGTATTCCTTTAACTGATAAACTTTGTTATAGAATAGCCACTAGAACGCACTGCCGTAATCCTTGACCCAATTTTCTCCAACACTTTGCTGCCGTACTACATACTGGTGTACGTTCCCCTCTGTATCGAATTGTCCAGTCTTAAAATATAAACAAAAAATAATAAAAATATATATAAACTTTAACTACGTAGTATTATTATTTATTCTGTGCTTTAACTCAGAAGGCATAGCGTCATCACATCACACATTTCAACTTGGGAATGATGGGTCCGTAGGCTTCGATCACCTAACCCTAGGCCCAACCTACACGTGTCCTCCGAGTGGTGCTAAACGAGCGACAAAGCCGGAAGAAGAGACTCAGCTCCTCGCCGTGTGGTAGTGGCGTAAAATCTACCACCCCCTATTTCAGACCATGAGGCAGAAAGTAAAAGAAATTAGTATTTTAAATAAGATAGTAATCTTATTTAAAATACCTTTTCTCTTATAATCTCATCATACAATAAAAATTACCAGCTTTAGCCGCCACATCTAGATATGCTCATCTTTTTGCTTCAATTTCCATTCGCACCTCAATATTATTATTTTCTTGCTTACCACATACTTTGATTGCTGCTTCTACCAAATCTCATTTAACTTTTTTCCATACAGTCACCTAAGTAATCAAAATCTTTCATACGCACCTCATGCAAATCACTAATTTTATCTTTCAATTTACATTGAACTTTTTCTCGTTCACTGTTTATCTTATAATACTTCTATTTTTATATGAAGTAACGAAGTAGTGGCCACAGAGGTCTGATGCCTTTAACCTCTGAACGACCTTTACTCAGGTATAAGACCAAATAATGATCTGCTTCTTACTCGGAACCTAGGTAAATCCTTGCACTTACCTACCACTGCGCTAGTCATTCTTCCATTTACAATTTTGAAATCTATCATGCTTCATCATCATAAACGTGGCCTATTCTGTTTGAAGTTGTTTTCAGATGTTTATGGTATTTCTTCTCTTATTATATTCTCCAACCAACTCCAACTCCACTTTAGTTGCTTTACTTTTAATTGAACATTTATTGCCTGAGTTCTGTATTTAATATTTATAAGCTTCACTTTATCCTTTTTCTTTATATCTTCGCTCTATTTTGTGTTAAAATGTCCTTAATCTTTTGCATGTTTTTCTTAGCGAGTGAAAAATGTTTGACAGGTAAAATACAAATATTGAATATCTATTGAATCACTTTTCATTGACCGAAATTGATTTGTCCTTCATTTTCTCTTTAGTACGTAGTACTATTATTTATTCTGTCTTTAGATAGCCAACGGGTACAAGTATTTGATATTCTTATGTTCGTCTCTAGGGACATTTGATTATTAGAAGATAATATATGGTGATCAAAACTCAGAGAGAGTAATTACCAGCATAGAGAGTCGAGAGAGTCCTAAAATAAGAAAAAAATCTTATAGCTGAACTCTTTACACATATGACGTTTAACATGGTACAAAATAGATAGCTATATATTGTAATTCTCATCCTCTTTCTTTTACAAGATTGTTGCCGATTTTCCATTCCATAGACACCTCTATTGATGTGTTGTCATTTAGTCTATGACTTTGTATAATTAAGGATTTTGAAGGATTCAAGAACGGCTTCGTGGCGCATTGACTATTCAGTGACTTGCGACACTAAGGGCCGCCGCGGGTTCGAATCTCGTACGGAACAAGTATTTGTATGGCCTACAAACACATTAAATATAATACAATAAAACATTCATTGTTTACTGCCAATGTTAAGCACATAATCATAGAATATTATACCTATATTTATATTTGAGACACATAATTGTCGCTTATACAAATTATGTCGTTTGTCGACGTTCACACTGTCAATGTTTAAGTATACGTATCTGTAAGTACTATCTAACGCCAGTATCAAACACTATAGTCTGTTAATGTACAGTAAAAGTTAAATACAGCCTGCTTCCTAAACAAATCAAAAATCTTATGAATTATGGTCGAATTTCGAGCACTATATTATACATTTTATCGTTTAATATTAAAATCTTTTATATTTTCTTTTAAGTCATTAATTACACTGTTTGACAATGGTAAAGATATGATAGCATTCGCTGGTTTTTTTTTTATAGGATAAGGGTGACAAACGAGCACACAGTCCACCTGATGGTAAGTGGTTGCTGCGGCCCATAGACATCTACATCTATCCTCTATTACAAATAAAAAGGAAGATGCGTTGTCACCCGTGAGGACTAAGATGGAATGCCTCATTTCCAGTAAAAAGGGCCTCCGGCCACCTGCACTCACCAAGCGAAACGCAGAGGCAAACCCAAATTTATCCCAGTTTATTTTGAATCTAATTTTTTAATTCATTTTTTTTTTAATTTTAATGTTAGTGTTTCTATTATAGTATTGATAGTTAGATTTAATTTAGATAATTAGAGGGCGTTGGTTTTTAGCCTCGCGGTGACCAACCGAATGGAACCATATTTAAAAAAGAGAATACGTAAATGCTGGCTTCTGACCACTTCTGACAAGTGAATAGGCAATAGCAATACCAGATGTTTCGCAGAACTAGCGCATTTTTCATTCGCATTTCCGATAATTGTACTGCCATCTATCTAAGGGCAGGGGCAGCTTAGAGAAATGGCTGAGTACAATGCGCCGTAGACCCGTAGACCGTAAAACCTTCAGGCGTACATATCACTAATCCCTCTGTTACGGCACCAATGGGATGAGGTAGGGTTACGCCAGCTAGACAAAGCTAATTTTTTCACATCACAAATGGTTCAAATGAAATAAATAAATTTGGGTAGTTATAAATAGTTAGATACCAAATCCAAATTATGGGCAGCAAAATAACCTGAGGAAAAGAAACCCGCACTATCTAATATCAAAAACTCGCTTCCTAGGTAAGGTAGTAATTATAACAAGACCCCTCCTTCTTGCCCCAACGACTTTGTATGGGAACTATGCGAAAGGGGACCACGAAGTGTTACGAAAAAAAAATTAATGGCATTTGTAACAGCGTGGTTACGAAATAATGCCCTTATAGAGACCAACGTCCAGTAGCATTAATGGCAGATTAAGCTTGGCTTATTTTAATTTATAGTTCTAGATCTAACTTTCCTTGGGTGCCACAGATAAAGAATATGATATGTAGTAGGAATGTAGAGTAGTTGGCAAGAAATTATAAATATTATTATATTGTTTAACCGGCCTCTACCGAATCACGCACTCATAAAATGTAAACGTTAAACCTATGTTACAAAGTAGACTTTCGTTACGCTCCATGGTTCCGACCCAAGATGACCCAAAAAGAATAAAAAAAATAAAGAATAAACTGGTGTAGTAACTCTACAATCAAATGTATTTTTGTCTCTTTTTCATATTATTCTAGAAACATATTAATTAATGAATTTGCTACTAAAGACAACCCAAAAATGCCGATTTGTGTACTCATATTCTATGTAACCGGTATGACATCATCTCGCTCTTCGTTGCGTCGTTCGACCCGAGCCCGAGGCCGCAGCCGCGGAATGAATGCGGTGCGCTCTCGGCTCGCGCTCTCAAACTCGGCTCAGTTTTGAAATAACACGCGCGAAGACACACGGGTTTTCTCTCGAATAATATAATAAAAAAGTTATTTATTTTAATCAATCATGGCTAACGTCATGGGTAAGTAAATATTTTTTAATCATATTGGATATTACGTCACACTAATGATGCTCCGATTAATTCAATAAAAATAACTGTACTTTTAAACTTACCAAATTCAATTTAGTTTACTTTAAGAGTATATGTACCATCTAAAATATAAATAAGAATAGTTGTGGTAAATAAAGTAGCCGGTGTTTTTCTGGACGAAGGCCAAAGCCGGGTGTGGCTTAAATTTAATGAAAATGCATCGATCCCATGTAGGTATTTAAAGAAAAACTAGTTACGTCACACTAGCAAATATCCATTAAATACGTTATATTAATTTGTCTTGTTCCTCTTGCTGTGAAAATTCGAGATAACAATAACAACTTACATTTATTATTTATCTTCATTAAGGTTAACTTCCAATTCGCCGAGTATTCTTAGACGGTGACTTCATATTTGTTATGCGTCGATTTCATTGGATAGACCTTTAGTACGACAATAGGGCATGAAAAGCAAGGCCGTTTATATTATATTTGTTTACGATCGTTTATTTCGTGGTACCTTTTATCGAATCGCTTGATGTCCTTCGTTTCACATTAAAAACATCGTATACCTGCTAATATAGTGCTATAGTACCTACCTACTTAGCGTAACTCAATGACTATAGCTGACAGGAATGTAGATGGATTAAAATCTAAACGATCCGAGTACTCGGCAGACTAATTTGTTGTATTTCTATGTATTATGTTGCATATAATTAATAAGATTGTAAAATATCAAATTTTGATTGTTTCCGTAAACGAACACTTTTATAAAAAAAAATTGTTGAATGGTGATTTTTTTCCTTGAAGTCCAATAAGTGAGTTTTTAAATGCTGCAATGCACCCACTACCACTACTCTATGTTCCGGTTTAGAGTTAGTTAAATCACAGGCTGTGACAACGTGGCGTCATAAGAGGGGGGAAGAGGGGAGAAATGACACGTTTCCGGACGATAGATTTTAGGGGGCGGCCATCGATCACTAATTTAGTGATCGATGGGGGCGGCATTTTTGGTTAGAAAAGTCAGCCAGTCTTAACTTTTTAAATGACGTCAGTAAAATCATATCTAATTAAATTTGTAAAATCCTCAAATGTTTACTAACGAATACCATGGGTCTAATTTAAACATGCATTAAAATATCTCAAATGCTACAAAAAATATTCAGACGGATTAAATATTAAAACTATTTTGATAATGATATAGCTAAGTAATGTCAATGACCGTATCGTTAACATATAACCTATTTGATAATAAAACGGTCATTAACATCACTATCACGAAAATTAATAGAGGTTAGTTAACCTATAAAAGATATTACATAGTTATGTTATATCTTCATCCTACCATATCAGGATTTATTTTATTTATTTATTTATTCTTTATTGCATTCTTTAATCTAAAAGAATACAAAGGGCGGACTTAATGCCTTGAGCCATTCTCTACCAGTCAACCTATTCGGATTGGATTGCAGAACCCTTTTTACTAGAAAAGAGGCATTCCATCTTAGTCCTCACGGGTGACAACGCATCTGCTTTTTTCTGCCGACTTCCAAAAAGGAGACGGTACTCAATTCGTAAGTGTGTTACCTCATAACTTTGTACTGGATGAACCGATTTCGGTGATTCTTTTTTTATATGAAAGCTGATAGTTCTCGTGTGGTCTTTTTGATCAAGGTCAGACCAATAGTTTTTGAATTATTCTTAAATAACTAATATTGAAGTTGGCTGTACAAAATTTTTAATTTTAAATTATGAATCTTTATTTAGGATAGATGTAGATGTCTATGGGTCACAGCAACCACTTACCATCAGTTGGACTGTGTGCACGTTTGTCCATAAAAATCCGTCCAATAAAAAAATCACCTAAGAATGCTTACATAACTCTAAGGCTTACTGCCTGTAACTGTAAGCGACTGAAATGCTGAAAAGTGCAGATACCTAGGTCAAGTAATAGATAGGAATTTTAATTGGAAAGTCTTCGTAATTGAATATTTTATTATTTAAATTGTATTTATATGTACTCTGTATACCGTTAGGGTTTTTCAAATGGAGAGTCCGTTAACGTTTTAATTATATTGTAAGTATACATATAGGGTAGGAAAATTAAATCATGTTTCAACATCATTATCATTACAAACCTTCACAAGTCCATTGCTGAACATAGGCCTTCCCAAGTTATGCCACAAAGCACGATCCTAAGGCACCTGTATCCATCGACTTCCTGCATGTCTTACCAGGTCGTCACTTCATCTAGTGTGGGGTTGCCCTAAACTTCGCCTACCGGTACGAGGCTGCCACTCGAGAACCTTTTTTCCTCATCGGTTGTCGGTTCTTCGAGCTATATGGCCGGCCCATTGCCACTTCAGCTTACTAATCCGTTGGGCTATGTCGGTCACTCTGGTTCTACTGCGGATATCCTCATTTCTAAATTTACCACGAAGAGAAACTCCGAGCATAGCCCTCTGCATAGCTCGCTGAGCGACCTTGAGCTTCCTCATACGGCCAGCAGTGAAGGACCACGTCTCAGTTCCATAAGTCATCACTGGCAACACGCACTGGTGGTTAAATCATGATTACAGAATACGTATTTTATGGAATATACAATGAAAAATATTCAAGAAGGTACTCACTTTCGCCCCGCGGTGTTACCCGCGTTCGTGTCCAGGCGGTCATGACCCACCCTCATTATATCACATGGAAATATTCTCATATTTCTTGAATAATTATTAATTAATTTACCTATTAACATCCGCCAAACCCGTACCGTCCGGTAAGGAACTTCGTTCACCCTCAGACTGCGTCGTACCGCTCCTGCCACCTGCTCTGGGCTCTCCTCTCTCCTATTCATAGTTGCCAATGTGTCCTATTCCGGTTTTTAATATGTAATATTGCCAAGTTTCATAAAAATCCGTTCAGTAGTTTTTACGTGATTGAGAAACAAACATACAAACATTCGAACAAACTTTCAAATTTATTGTTAGTAAGAGCTATTATTTATTCTGTGGTAAGAGTTAGGAGTACCTACGCTATAATACTCTTTAATATTAATTCGGGACTTTTTAGCACAAAGTGCCACGATAACCAAAAAAAATCTGTAACTTCCCGTATCTGTTTCAAAAATTACAAATAACACATTGTTATATTGTTTTAAAAATTCAAATAAATACTCCTTTGTACGTGTCTCTGAAATCAGATTATAGTTATCTACTCTTGGCACAGGAGCTCTACACTATGTAGAGTATAAAAAACAAAGTCGCTTCCAGCCGTCTGTACGCTTAGATCTTTTAAAATTTAAACTAAGCAACGGATTTTGATGCGGTTTTCATCTATAGGCAGAATCATTTAAGAGACAGGTTTATATCTGTAATTCATTTATATTATAAATTGTACATATAACTCTTCTGTCCGTCTGTATGTGACTGACCTCCTCCTAAACGGCTGGAACGATTTTTATGAAATTTGGTGTGTGTGATTAAGTTAATTAGAGAATGGTTTAGATTCACAATTAGACCTGGTAGGTGGCGTTATTGTCGAGATCCAGAAATTAACCGTGCGAAGTCGGGGCGGATCGCTAGTATAGGTACTTTAAATGTTTTTGGTATACTATTTGGTATTTGGTAACCCCAGTTAAAGCTTTAGTTAATAGACGAATAGCTTAAAAGTAGGATCAAGATTATACATTAAATATAATTTTGTCAAAAAACTGTACTGCAATTTGGCAAAATTACATGCTATTATCACAGTACTGAAACATCTAAATTGTTGATGCCGGACAAAAACTTCAAAAAGCCCGGATATTTGGTTGAAATCGAGTTTTTTCCCGGATATTCTTGAAAAATGTTTTATACAAACAAATTAAAACAGCTTTTTTGTTGTTTTGTTGAGCAATGCTTACTAAAATTACAGCAAAACATATGAAAAAAAAATTAAATTGTCTATGTTGACTACGTTATATATATAATATTATGATAAAATCAATCAATCATAAAACATAAAGCTAACTAGCTCAAATATTTGACGCCACTTATAACTACGATTGGTCCGGGTCATGACCTTTCCTCGCTGGAACTTGTAGGCGGAGTTCCTTGCGTTCATGTATAAATTGGCGCTTGGAACTCCATCCGTAAGTTTGAAAAGTAGAAACAGCGACTGGCCCACCCGAGAGGCCAGGAAGCAAAACTGTCGAAGATGTTCGTGCGGTTTTGCCTGGATGAGCAGGCGGTTAATTGATCTTCCAGCTGGTTCAAGTGCTTTCTGGGCTTTTTGATACGGGAGCCATCAACCGAGTACACCTACTTTGTTAGCGACGAGGAAATGGCAGCATTCCCTATAGTATTTCCTGGCTTAGGCTGAGTTTCGATATGATCTTATTGTTGTAGTGGTGAACGAGCTCTCGCTCCTAGCCTTGATTAAGGCTATGATTGGATGCGACAGGTCGTGAGTCGCCGGGCTTACTTTCTACGGACAGGTGATGTCACGGAAAATAGCTGTGGAGAGGGAAAGGGAAGAAAACCTCAGATACCATAAGCCTCAGTAAGAGAGCTATGCGCCGGAAGAGAACACATCAGGCTTTCCTTAACAAACCTTAGTTGAGGTTTAGGCGGCGAACACAGCGTTTGTCCGTCGTCTCATGTCGTATCAATGGATGTCAACTGGACACAAATTATGTCTTAAAACTAAGACAAATCCGTGGTAGCTCGCACGTATTGAAGCTCTGTTCAACTACTTGTAGATAATAAAAAAAAAGTATCATATTAAAATCGCTGGAAAGAAAGAATAATAACATATTCTCACAGTTGCAAGTCATTTGTAAAATTATTCTTGTACCTATCACTTTATTTTAGATTCATACTGGCCTTCACGTACATCACATAATTCGCGAATACTTCTAGTTTTAAAGTGTTCGCAGATTCCAACCATAGTTACAACTACTAGTGCGGGTTTCATGCCACGGATTTTTACATTTTTATGCATAGATATGTATACACCGCAACGGTACTGCTCATGCACTGTGCCGCTACCATTATCCACTTAAGACAGCTTCTTTACCGTTTCGTACTAACAATATACTCACAATCTAATCCTTTTAAGTGCACTCTATGAGAAATAAATATCATATCCTCTGCTCTTGACCTTCGACCGCCAGTGAAATAATCGTCATAAATACACCTGATCACAATTACCAAAGTCGTAGATGCGAGCGCGCGGGCTTTTGTATATATCCAGATCAGATCACTTAATGAATCTAATATCGCAATTTTAAGAGTTCTGTCGCCAACTGTGGCCTGAAGATGATTTACAACAAAAACACCGGATACTGAATTAATATCAAACCATATTTATTTCAGTTCAGATATAATCGTATCGTAAGTAGGTATTATACCGATTATATTACGTGGGAGCTGACTCAAGCGAATATTGAGAGTCGCGAGAATTATTTTTATACTTACATACCTATTCACTCAGTTCTTTTAATTATTCACAATATAACGAGACCTTACATTTCGTATGTTTTACAGGAAATATTTTAAGTATTTACCGATTCGTGTTGGCGAAAGCGAAATTAAGGCCATAGTTTTTTTTTTAATTGAAAGCCATAATATCGTGCATGAACTTTTTCAATGATGGAAACAATGTTCCGTCTCATAATGAGTCATTAGAGCCATTAAAGACAATTCGCACAATTAAGATACTTACAAAAGAGCTATTTTGTGTGATTACACTGTGGTGTGATTCAAATTAATGAGATTGGTAACTAATTTAAGATAATGATTCATGAACAATACCAAACGAACATGAACATGAAGCACTCGTTAAAACAAACCATCTTTTTTATATATTAAAAATCTAGTATTTTCTGCTATAACCTGTAAATATAGCACATAGCGAAAAGAACATATCTAGATTATGTTTTTAATGTATACTTTATTTATAAAGAAATAATTTTTCTGCTTTGCTTTTTTACTACAACTCCGCGCCGTAGCCTTTCTTAGTCAGCCTGTATTATTATAATATGTATATTACTTACTTTCGCTTTCTATATTATTATATGTTTTCTGTTTATGGTTTTCCGATTTGGAGTAATTAATACGCATAAATAATTATATCTCTAGGATCGTGATAACAGAACCACATTTATGATATTCCTATGAAAAAAACAGAACACAAAGTACTAACAGACGTCTCGCGCCTTTTAACACTGTTTCTCGTCAGCAGTCTCCGTATTTCACATCTGATATAAATAGGAAGCCACAAGATCTTCCAGTGTTTCCCCTTACCATACCCAAGGGATTAAAAATAGTGATGGATTCAAGATGTTAATTATTCAAACTATTATCAAAATTAACTGTCCAAAGATGAACATTTATCATGTTTGAACATTGTTTAAAAACACAAATAAATTTCTCGCAACATAATGAATACAATAATACTCGTATAATATAGTTACCTGTTTTTAACTGAACACGCCTCGTATTCAAAAGTAGTTATTAGCTAGTTTATAATAGGAAGTAAACGCCGAACGAAACTATCCGATACAAAAGAAAGTTGAGTGATACTACTGTATCGATCCCGGCTATTACGTAAGGTGCCTCTAGTTCCTCACTCCAAATACTGACGCCTGAAGGTCGTTAAGCGTTGATTTTAATCGAATGACATCATCTGCTAAATCTAGATTTCGTAATTGGGTCCAAGGAAATGACTTATGGCACCTACAGTTAAACATTATTCTACATTCTCAGTTCTCACCGTTGCATTAATTAATTGATTTCATCATTCGGTACAAATGTGGCATCACCGTTAGGAGCGTTCAACTTCGTTATGTCTAAGGAATATTAAAGTAACAGTCCGAAAGTTATAAAGCAATCAAACAGAATACTGATTCAGACGCCTATATTTAGAATTGTTCGCGAAGAAACAATCGAGTGAAACTAACATAGCTGAGACAATACTATAATATACCTCCACATTTTTGGATCCATTGATCTCATTTTTTCTCTAAATATACGTGGTAGAGCAATGCTGCAGCTATATTAGTAGTATTGTTGTAGCACGAATGGGTCGGCTCGACCGGGGAAGGACCACGCTCTCACAGAATACCAGCGTAAAATAACAGCTTAACACTGCTGCGTTTCGTATAGTGAGTCTAGACCCTTTTTACTGGAAAAGAGGCATTCCATCTTAGTCCTCACAGGTGACACCGCATCTGCATTTTGATTCGCAAACGAGGATAAATGTAGACGTCTATGGGCCACAGTAACCACTTACCATCAGGTGTACTGTGTGCTCGTTTGTCACCCTATCCTATAAAAAAATATTTTACTTTATAGTTTTAAAACTAACTTTCGACTAAGTTATTATGATTAACCTACTAAGAAATTCGTAGGTACGTCGTTTCGGATGAGGGATCGTATTAGGATTTTCTTGTTGTGGTTTTGTTGTTGCGAAAAAACGCAGTGTTAAGTGCCTATAACCTTCGCGCAAGTGCAAGCAATTCTAGACCGTAACATGATGAACGGTATAGTAGCGCATAAAATACGAATAAACAAAATTATTGTATTATACATTACGTAAATAATTGAAACATTACCTAAATAATTTACTACAAAGCTAGAAAATTGTGTATAATGGTGTGCATTTACACCGAATTGAATCCTGGAATTTGAGTCTGAATATTCATGATACGTAACGTGCATGTAGAAAAATACAACTGAAGTGTTAAATGAAATAACTCCCTGGAGCATTGAGATAATATGTTACTTTACGTAGTAACATATTATCTCAATGCCCTGGAGTATAAAATGAAACAACAGAAGATAATTTCTTAGTATATTTTTAATGGTGTCGTAGATAATATAATATCTACTTATATAAATAAGTGGTGCACATTATTATTAATCACCATTATCATGATGATGACGACGATAATGGTGGCCCATCAAAATGCCACTACTGAACATAGACCTCCACAAAGGAACGCTACAAAGCATGGTCTAGAGGCACCTGCATTTATCGACTTCCTGCATCTCATACCTAGTCATCACTCCATCTATTTTGGGGGGATTCCTCCCCTTGCATTCTGATCCATTGGGTTATGTCAGTTATTATGATCAAGGATTCTATGACGCAGACAAACTCCGAGCATAGCTGGCATAGCCCTCTCCATGGCACGCTGAACAGCCTTGACCTTCCTCAAACGGCCAACTGTGAAAGGCAACGTCAAGTTGTACCTACATTCTTCTTTTGAGGAATACGTAACGAAAAGATAAGTCGTAATCTCCCGAACGGTGCCCAACCGAGTCGGATAAGTCGATTGACGTCTCAGTCAAAGTTGGAGTTACCTACCTTATGAAATCCCTTTAAAATATAAATAAATTACTAATAAATTGCCCGTTAAATATTACTTATTTGCTACGAAATTTAATATCCTTAAATGAATTGGTTGTAAAAAATCTTTATGCAACAAAACCATATTTGTTTTTACAGAAGTGTCGACTCCAGACAACCTACAATACCAGTTCTTTCCCGTGTCGAGCGGTTCCGTCCAGTTCAAAGTACGGGCACCCAATGATGCCCACATTGCTCTTACCATGGGGCCTCAAGATAGTGAGCCAATTTATGAGGTAATAATGTTAAATTGTACTTTTTATTCTTTATGAGCCCGGACGGAGTTATTTCTAATATGAATTATCCGACTGGCGTAAACGGGATAGTTTTACCGTGTACTATTGGAAGCCTAGGAGCTTTTTAGCATTTCACATTTAATATATATATATATATATATATATATATATATATATATATATATATATATATATATATATATATATAGTAATAGTCGCCTCCTACGACACGCACTTAATGAAATTGGGCGTAGGAAATAAGGATTAACCACGCATTGTTTAATATTAGTGGATAAATTATATCAATCATTCATTAATTTAATTACAGCCTATCAGAGTCCTCTGCTGAAGAAAAGCCTCCCCCACGTATTGCTTCAGCAAAGCCATAGTTGTCTAGCGTCATGCGCGTAGGCAAGCGCAAATTTTTTATTATAATTTTGAGTTGTTATAAGAATGATGCTGCTGTCCATCGCCTGTTTTATTCCCTTCTGACGCCTTACACAACACCCTTGGAACCCACGTGGTGGAATCACACTGCAGATATACTATAGTTGTAGCGCAAATGGGTCGACTCAACCGGGAAAGGACCATGCTCTCACATTACAGCGTAAAATAGCACATCACATTAAAGCGTAAAATAGCAGCAAAATACTGCGTGCTTCGTTTGATGAGTGTAGAGAACCGGAGAGCCTTTACTCGTACTGGTAACTAGACATTCTATCTTAGTTATCAGGGCAACAACACATCTAGATTTTGATTTCTAATCGGTGATAGTTATGGATCACAGCATTCACATACCATCAAGTGGACTGTTTTCTCGTTTGTTACCCTTATTCTTTAAAAAAAACATGGTGATAAACCAGATTTTAAGCATATACACAGTTGATGCTGTATGCAGCGAAGTACCGCTTCTTGCTAACCAGTGGGATAGATGGATTTCTAGAAGACTTCTATACAAAAATTCTAGAATAAGAATAATACAATCATTTTCATAAATTTTCTACAACATATTTCGTTATACATAATATATGTTATAAGTACTTATTTGTGTTGTAAACTCGTTACTTCTACCTGAATTCAGGTTGTGTGTTTTGAAATACCGTACATATAACTTTGCACTTATTATGTTGTTCATGTTTTGATGTTATTCTGTTTTGTGTACCTAAATAAATTAATGAATTCGAAATCAGGCACACATAATGTTAGCTCTATTGCGGATAAATCTGCGGAGTACGCGGCACTATTTTTTGAAATAAGAATGTTTTAACTTAAAACCAAGGAATTTCAATACTACTAACGTAATAGTATATAACATTCTTGCTTTAAACTTATTGTGCACATTGAAAGATCTTTAAGAAGTTATTAATTAAAATCTGTTTTCTTTATTATCTGTAGATTATGATTGGTGGTTGGGGTAACACGAAAAGTGTAATCAGGAAAAACAAAACAAAGCCAGACAAAGTAGAAATAGAAACACCTGGAATTCTAAATGGCGGTGAATTCCGCGGCTTTTGGGTTCGTTGGGACAGTGGAATCGTGTCAGCTGGCCGAGAAGGCGAATCCATCCCATTCATTTCCTGGGCTGACCCACAACCTTTCCCAATTGGTTTCGTGGGTGTGTGTACTGGCTGGGGCGCAAGCGGCACTTGGAAAATTGAAGGTTAGTCATTTATAAAATAAATCCCAAAATGTACCCAACGGCGTTCACTTAACCTCAGATTACCGATACAGACGCAGCCGAATTCAACACTCCAGACAAGTTGGAATATAAATTCGGACCTGCAGCATCTGGATCGCTTGAATTCGAATACCGCGGACCACACAACTGCCACGTGTGTCTGACGCCCGGACCGGCTGAAGTCGACCCTATGTATGAAATTATTCTCGGTGGTTGGGATAACTCTCAATCAGTAATAAGGCATTGCAGACAGAAGCCCGATAAGGTAGCGTAAAATGACTATAAGTGTCGTACTACAATGTATTCAGGACCTAACTGATAATAGGCTTAAATAAATGTGACGATTCGTAGGTAACTCTGCCGACACCTGGACTTATGAACCCCAACGTATTTAGAAAATTCCTCATCGAATGGAGATGCGGTAGATTGATGGTCCGTGATGGATTCACTGGAGGTGTGATGATGGAATGGGTTGACCCTCAACCGTTCCCAATCACACACTTCGGAGTGCGAACGGGTTACGGAGCACAGGGCATCTGGCGTATAAAGCATTTCTTCAAAGATGGACAACAACCATGTTGAGTGCCAAATTAAATTTAAATACTTATTAACAGACTGTTTTGCTTCCGATGTTAATTGCTGTTTATATATTTCTTATTAATTTAGGATTTACTGTTATTAATCAAATAAAACCACAGTATAGCACAAATTAACAATGAATGGATGTTATATGGTATAAGGTTGTGTGTGTTAATCTAAATAATAAACCTGCGTAATTAATGCAAAACTACTTCTGGATGTTGAATAATTTCCGTGGTACGTTGGGTACATTTTGAATATCTGCTTTTATTCTTTTCACTTTATATTTCATAATATTTTGTTTTCGTTTCGTGCACACATTTCAAAAACAAATTTTCGTATTTTTGTTATCTAACCTACTTCGAGGAACAATTATTGTATCTTGTAATTCGCTTTGTATGCTAGCTTGCACTATTTTAGTTTCGCAACATCTGCTTCTACATCGAGAAGACTTAGGGTCTTCAGGGAAACTAACTGTTTCCTCTTAGATAATTTTTATTTTTGTGTTTAAGATATACTTTTAAAGCATTTTTTTTTCTAATTAATGTTAACCTTTTAAGCACTGTTACAAAAATGCATGTAATAATTGAATATTGCATTTTAATACTAAGTACTGTTAACGCTTCGTTTTAAATAATTTCACTCTATTTCAGAATAAATTCACTATCTTTCACCTGCGCTTTCAATATCAAGCAAATTCTAATATTGATCTTATCCTACAGTGGGCCCCTCAGCACCGGCAGCAGCTGCTCTTTACAGTTCTCCCCCTGGTTACCCTGGTGGAGCACCAGCGGTGTCAGCAATGCACGGTGGTGGTTCAGGTGTGTGGATGGACGCAAGTGGCGGTCAAGTTGTTCCCGGCGCCGTAGTTGGCGGACAAGACTGTTCTGGAGAGCCCCTATATATTGCAAGGGCTCAGCATGAGGGTGCCATGATCCCTGGAAAATTGGTCGCTTCACATGGATGTGCTTACATTCCTTGGGGTGGACAGGAACACGGAAAGTCAACGTATCAGGTTTGTCATTTTATTCATATTTTAGAACTGTATGGTATGTTAGAATAATAATGTTTGCAAACTTAATTTATTACAAAATTATATAATACATAAAAAGTTGCAGCCTATTTACGTCCCACTGCTGGGCACAGGCCTCCTCTCATTTCTGAGATGGTTTTAGGGTAAGGAAATGTCCGCCGCACTGCCCCAATGTGTGTTGGCGAACTTCACTTGTTTTCGAAATATTTTTTTTCTTATTTCTCAGATATACAGGTTATCACACAATGTTTTCCTTCACCGCCGAGCACGTGGTACATTAGCACTTAAAATTGCAATTAACAATTTAATTGGTGCCGGCGGGGATCGAACCCAGGTAGCTCGAGTACTGTGAAGCTTACAGCGAGCGCTAACCATCTGAGCTACCACGGCTCTATATAATACATAAACTATTCATAATACACTCGTACATATAATACATGCCTGTTACATATAAGGGAAGCCAGAGACTATGAACTTCCATTTGGAACAATCCTGACATAACTCTTATCTACACATACATTATCTCGGTTTAGGGGGATTTTAATGTTGCCCATCTTAGAAAATATCACCAATTTGTTTGATAAACTTCAGTGTAGGGCGAACTTTGTTAACTTAGCCTCTCATCTTATGCAGCATAAATTTGTTTTGTCACTCTGTCTTAATTCATTCTTTACACTTGTCCAAGTCACCAAAAAATTCGTTTCACAACATAATCATGGTCACAACATCTTCCTGAAAACCACACTTTTTTCTTAACACACATTTTCTCATCCTGTCATTCAGGTGATCTCCTACCATATTTTTTATTGACCTTATTTCTACTTCTGCCACACCCAAATTTCACTTTCACTACCATATCATCATTAATACTTTATTTTGTGATCATACATTGAGTTAGGGACTAACACAGTGTCATACGTGCGTTTTTTGATATATTCTGACTTCATTCTTCGTATATATTCACTCTTCGTTCTTTATCTTTGTCATATCTACCATCCACGCTAAAGACATCCCAAATACATTAATTCATCCACTTGCTCAACCATCTCACTTGCAAGTCTTATACCACATTAAGAACACAAAATTGCTTGAACTTGACGTGTCGAGAGTAAAGCACTGCCTAATAACGCTTCGCGTTATGAGGCGTGCACTTTTGGATTTTTCCAACTATTTTCTTCTCTTGCAACTATCATTTGCAACTCCCCGCCAACGACGAAAACATGACTTGATCGTCGGCGAACAAGAAGCTTTTAACAGCTAGCTCGCCCATTCTTTACCTACATTTTTCTACTTTCAAGCTTTTCAAACAACTGTCCATAAACAGATTGTACAACCATGGGTAGGTAAGGTAAACAACTCTGTCTGATACCTTTATGTATGCCACATCAGTCCATGAAGGCTTCGATGATTCTGATACAAGCACTTGATTTTATATAACTTACTAATTAAAATGTAAAGAGATTTTTATCAGTAAGTTATCGTTAAATACCACCATACCAGCCCAGCTCTTAACCCAAACATGGGCAGCATTTGCTATAAAGCAACCTTGGTACTCTCTGTTATAAGCCAAGTTCAAGTCTAAAATGCAATGAAAGATTTCAGATTATTGGCCAAAAATGTAGCTGTGATTATGCATCTTTGTGAACAAAAATATCTGATCCCATCCCATTCCTACATTCAGCTCGCACATCCCAAAGTTATCCATCAATTTCTTTCATAAATCTTTCAATCAGCCCATTAATAATGTCTTATAACATTATAATAATAACCTATGAAATTTACATTCTGCAGTACTGTCCATTTCAAATCAAAATAATTTTTGTTTGGCAAAGAATTCTAATTTCTTGGGTTGGGTTCTTGGGTGAAATACGCACATAATCTCGCTAACTTCATTCTTTTCGTGCGTAGTTTCTGGTTCATTTACTTCAATTCCTATACCTATACTATTTAATTTATTGAATTAGTTGTACTGTCTTATTCTCCTCCTCGCAAACAGTCCACTGCAGAATATAGAATTCTCTCGAATATTTCTCTTCATACATTCTCTTTGGCAGGCAATGGCCTTGTGATGGCCTGTAACAACTTACAGTGACTTTTTTGTATTGAAATTCAATATTTAATGAAGAAAACGAATAAAACTATGCATGAAATTAGATACGAAATAAATGTCGGGTAGGGTGTCGTAATTATTTAGATTCCTACAATCTCTTTAGTGTTACTTCTTATAGAATTCATAAACACTAAGTTCTGCAAAATAATGGGTATACAATCTTACTTTCTTATAGGTTCTTGTTGGAGGTTCAAATAATTGGGTGCCAGTAAGTGGATCAAACGTGCCACCCGGAGCTTGTCCTGGAGGTGAATCAGAAGACGGGGAGCCACTGTACATTGGCCGCGTACGTCATGAAGGTAGTGTTACTACTGGAAAGGTTCAGCCATCACATGGTGTTTGTTACATCCCCTTCGGTGGTCAGGAACTCGGTTTCCCCGAATATGAAGTTCTTATGGCCTAATGAATCATGACAAAAATAAAACCAAGAGTTGGTTTATTATAATTATAACGTTCACATACAATATAAGCTTTTTATTGAGCAATGATACTGCGAGATCAAATTTAGAATCCATTGTTCTCACTGTGTCCATTATGTTATTTTGAATGCACTGCATAATATTGTAACTGTTACTAAAGAGATAACACTACTAGGTGTTTAATAAATTATTTTTTGAAAATTATTTATGACTTTAATTTTAACCACCAAGAAGTGACAATAAACAAATAATAAGGTTACTAGTGAATATCAATTTCTCTCCAAGTACTAACCTGCAACTTCATTTGCACGCGCCCTTAATATTGCGTACATAGGCATGCGAACGTATACCTGGCAACTAGTGAAGATTCAACTTTAAATTACATTAAACTATGGAAATAACTAAAATAAAATAATCTCGCTGTTTCAACACAGGTAAAGTCCGTATAGTGACGGTGTAAGAATATCCACTAGTCCATAATATCATGCCGTGGGTGTCGTAAGAGGCGACAGAGAGAAACAATCAGGAGATGGGCAGCAGCGTCTTCCTAATAACGAATAAAAAAAACCGTGGTTGCCAACCGCTTGCCAAGCGTAGTAACTATGACAAATATCCCCCTATGAGGTAATCTATGGGGAAGGCCAATGTTCAGCAGTGAACTTTAATAGGCTGTAACGGTAACGATGCTACCGTTACATTCATTGATGGAACATGGCTAAACGCCAACCACACTATGCTACAGACATGGACAGATACAGATGAGCAGATGACCCGTGTGAAAAGGTAGGCGTCTCATTATTTGTTATGCAGGATTCGCCCGCCGGAGGAGGATGCATAGAAAATACAACTACTACGCAAGCGATCACTGGGTCAAAGTGATGGAGAAAACAAAGAAAAATGTTATGGATGACTATGAAAGACATTAATTTTGCCTGCATTATAGAAAATCAAATAATAAATTAATGTAAACAACGATGATGACGACAACAGCTCAAATAGTTGTAGTGAAAGCTATTATTTATTCTGTGGTGAGAGTGATTAAGGTCGTGGCCCGAAATACACTGCGAGTGCGAGCATACTGCTCAGTGCTCTCACAGGTGAAAAATTTGTCCCGTTATGGAGTGCCAGTATACTGCCGCAGTACCCTAGGGAAATATTCACATCTACTAGATTAGTCTGTGATATATGACGTCATAAATCACTGCCTTTTTTTTTACTGTCAGTACTGGCGCTTTCGAGGTAAGGTGCTCTCAGAACTTTGATCACGTGATCAAAAAACATAACAGTGCCTAGATTAAACAGCTTTCACGAATGATTGCTATTATTATTTATTAATATTGTTATTCAAATAAACTCGGACTTTAAGTTATTTATTAAAATAAATAAATATCATTTTATTGCCACTTTTAAACACATGTTTACATATAAACAAATTATTTAATCTTAATTTAATTTAGGCAAACGGAGGTGACTCAGCTTTTGCTCACATTGAACTAGATCCCATGAAGCGCTGGTTTTCAGGCACTCCTTCTTCCCTGAGATGTTACACGGGTGTTATGAGAATTTCGAGTTCCCCAATCACCTCTTTCATTTACTCATCTATCATTGGAATTTAACATGGTATGGTTGTGAACTTTCATAATTATTAATTAATAATTTTTGCATTCGTGGGCGCGCGCGCGCGCGCGCGCGCGTGTGTGTGTGTGTGTGTGTGTGTGTGTGTGTGTGTGTGTGTGTGTGTGTGTGTGTGTGTGCGCGCGTGCGTGTGTGTGCGTGATTGTTCAGTTTATAATACACGGGGATGTTTTATAAGGGTTATATCATAATGTTAAAAAAAAGTCTCTTAAGTTTATGTATTTCCAGTAGGTATGTTTCAAGTTTTCTGCAGCAATTTGCCGCTTCAGCAATGCTGATTTATATTTAGCTTTGAAGCTTTCCGTACTCATTTTATTTCTCATAGGAGGGGGCAAATCGTTCCATATACTTGCTGCAACAAACTTGAAACATCCTCTGTACCGCGTTGTTTTATGTTTTGGCATACTTAACATGTTTAACGAGTTCGTACGAAGGCTTCTATGTGAAATGTCTTTGATCCATAGGAGTTTTTCAAATAGGTACTCAGGCTTTTTGTTCCATATTACCCTATGCACTGTACAAGCGTACTGAAGCTCCCTTCTAGCACTCATGTTAAGTAAGCACTTTTTATTTAAGTACGGGGTAATAGATTCTCTTTTGGGCACATTAAAGCAAAAACGAACACAGACATTTTGCACTCTTTGTATTGCCCTCTCTGTGTTAAACTTAAGTCTTGGACCAAAGGTGGAACTGCAGTAATTAAATTGAGATAGTACCAGGGTATCACATAAAAGTATCCGTAAATCCTCCTTAAGAAATGGTTTGATTTTGTAGAGCGTTTTCAGCTTGAAAAATGCTGTCCTTATTTTGTTATTAAGGTGATCAATAAATGTTTGTTCCCCATCTAAAATCAGGCCGAGATTACGGGCAGAGGTTACTTGTTCCAGAATAACATTATTTATTTTTACTTTTTCTCCAACGTCTAATACATTTTTTATTTGTCGTTTAGTGAGTTATTTAAAGACCTAAGAGTTATTTAAAGACCATGTGTGGATACTTCTCAGGTCATCATTAACTTTCTCAATAGCTTTTTGAGCGTCTTTACTGTGAAACGAGTAGTACAGTTGTGTATCATCAGCATATAAGTGATATATTAAATTAGATTAGATTATATTTCTCATTATTTTGGATAAGAATATAAAAAATAAATGTGTCTGTTTTCAAGCCCAGAATTCAAACTACAATAATAAAATAGATAAAGAGTCAGTAACTGTAAGAAAAGTAAGAAATCTTCAATGGTGTTACGAAAATATCTTAAAACTGGCGTAGTGTAAATTTTACAAATTTGCAGTTATGTCACTGTCGCTCTAAATGAGCGATATATGCCTCAGGAACAAATGTCAAAAACTTGGTAACCACTTTAAATGAGGCTTTAAAGAAATTGTACATTTACTTTTCATACTTAAATTTAGATATTAGTATTACTTCGTAATATCGTCATATTCATAATATTCGTAACATTCGTCCATTTAACACTAATAATATAATAATAATAATAATAATAATAATAGCGCCATAAGTAGCGCCATCCCAGCCTGGAGAAGAAGGATTGAGGACCGTATCGCAAAGGCAAGGGTCTTCATCGGCAGACTGATAAGCTTCAGGTCGGGCAATAATAGGCCGAGAATTGTGCGCACCGTCAGGATGGCGTTTGCTGGGACAAATATCAGTTTGTCCCAGCCGGATATAACGCAAAAACTGACGGAGCGCATAGACGACCTGAAGCAGAGAATCGCTGCTTGGGGGAAGCGGATTCGGCGATATACCAAGAGGTCGACACGGTTCAACCAGAATCGTCTCTTCCGGAGTGATCCGAAGAGGCTCTATGAATCACTGGAGCGACCAATGGTACGTGGAACGGGCCCAGCACCGAATCAGGCCGACACTATCGCATTCTGGCACGGCCTGTGGTCAGAGCCCGTAAACCACAGCGAGGGCCCTTGGACGGAAGATGTGGCGAGTCAGTGTGTGAATGTTACGCCCATGGACCCCGTCATCATAACGCCGGATGACGTAGCTGAGGCGGTCCATAGGGGCCCGAATTGGAAAAGTCCGGGACTCGACGGACTGCATCACTACTGGCTGAAGGGGTTCATGGTGTGTCACGCTGTGCTCGCCCGACAGTTTCAAGAGGCTCTCGACCAAAAGTCGCTCCCGAGCCTCTTCACTACTGGGATCACTCAATTGGTTCCTAAAGACCGGGATTCCACAGACCCGAGCAAATACCGCCCCATAACATGTCTACCTACCATATACAAGACACTAACATCCATTTTGAGCGCGAGAATCATTCGTCACCTGAACTCAAACCAGGTGATGTCGCGCGCTCAAAATGGATGTCGGGGAGGTGGTCGTGTAACCAAGGAACCACTCCTCATTGACGCGGCCATTGGCAAGGTGGTTAAACGCAACCGTCGGAACCTCTCCGCCGCCTGGATAGACTACAAAAAGGCATTCGAATCGGTGCCTCATACATGGTTTAAGAGGGTCCTCGAGCTGTACAAGGTTGATTGTACAGTTCGAGACTTCCTCGGGCAGTGTATGGGGCAGTGGAGTACGATCCTTTGTCATCTAGGTGAGCGGATGACGGCTGCGGAGAACCACATAAGGATAAGAAGGGGTATCTTCCAGGGCGATTGTTTGAGTCCAATCTGGTTCTGCCTCTCTCTGAACCCTCTCAGTACCTTACTGGAAGGCTCCGGGAGGGGATTTCAGCTTCGGAGAGGAGGTACAAAAGTGACCCACCTTTTCTATATGGATGATCTCAAATTATTCGCCTCCAGTCGCTCTCATCTTATGGAATTGCTAAACATCACTTGTGATTTTAGCAATTCTATTAGAATGGAGCTGGGGACGGATAAGTGTGCGATCCTCCATGTCGAAAGGGGAAGGGTTGCTAACTCTGAGGGCATACACTTATCTATGCCCATCAGCATAAGGACCCTTTCCGAGGCTGAAACATACCGATACCTGGGTATGTCACAGAACATCGGTGTAGATGAGGCGGGTATGAAACGGTCAGTTTGCGATGTGTTTTATGCACGCTTGACCAAAGTGCTTAATAGCCTTTTGTCCGGTGTGAATAAGACGCTTGCATATAATGGTTGGATCATGCCTGTTCTCATGTATACCTTTGGCATACTCAGGTGGACTCAGACCGAACTGAATGCTCTGGACAGAAAAGTCCGCACTATAATGACATCCCACAGGATGCATCATCCGAGATCGTCAGTAATGAGGCTGTACTTGCCGCGGAAGCATGGTGGGCGCGGCTTTTTAAGCGCGCTTATCATGCATAATCGCGAAGTGTGCAGCCTCCGTAATTACTTTCTGACGAGAGCGGATGATC